AGGGCCCCCCAGACGCCCCGTTAACGAGCAGAACCAGGAAGGCACAGAGTCATTCCCGAGTTGAGACAGCACCCTCTATCAGTAATGACTACTCCCCAGGTTTGTAGCTGAGTCTCCTCATCGGGATTGATTAAATACAAATATTCCTTGACAAAACATCCCCAAAAGATTTCCTCGTGGAAAGGCCTTGGAAACAAAAAGAGTATTGATTTTTTTTAACGCTATGTGAAAATCCACCTGTGTCCAGATACGGGCATGTATCGGTCTGTCTGCCGCACCTCCTCCCCCTGCTCACGCTCTCACTGATCCTCCCGCCAGGAGGGGCGCCCACACCCCTGGGCCCTGGAGGTCCTGCAGGGGTGCGTGGGAGCCACGCGGGAGACCTACAAGGCGAGGCCACGAGGAGCATGTGTGCGTCAAGCCGCGTGCCCAGCCGCGAGGAAGTGCATTATCCACTTTATTTCAATGAAACTAACCAGCACGTTTGCCGTACAAGAACCTGAGGTGGGTGACGGCCACGTGATTATCTGAGACTACAACGTAAACAGGGGAAAGATTCTACAATTGGCGGAACACAGCTGTGCATCCCTTGAGGAAGGCACGGAGCCTCCGTTGGGACGGGAAGGGCTGATGGTCCCTGTGGGAGACGGGAGTGCGGACACATGCACGTTTGTGAGCTCGTTCGTTAGTTATGGGTAGTTCTGCCCCCCCACCCCGCCCGCCTCGGCGGGGGGACCGAGACACAAGAGAGGAGAACACGGGTTGAGATTACACAGCTGACAGGTGGTGCAGTCGTATTTCCTCCCACGTAAAAGGAGAAATTAAAAAAAATGGACCGAGTCCACTTTCCATTTGAGCATCTGGGAATCTCCAGGTTCAATGTCAAGTTCAAGCATCAGCAACTGCTGTAGGGCCGACACGTGGTCTTTAGTTGACCTTCACTCTGCGCTTTTTATATTTTATTCTTTCCTGGTGTGTTTTCTTAATGTGGGCCAACTCAAGCTTTGTGACCAAGATACACACACGTACAGCTACAGTGCAGATACTTGCATAAACTTGACCATTTCTAATCCGAGTACTTTCTGGCTTACCATTAAACATGGCGACTCTTACCTCCGCTATTTGAGCCCCGGGCTGGCGGCAGGTCCTCACAGGAGCCGTGTTCTGCACTGAGGCAGCAGGCCATGTTCTCCTGAGCCTGACATGCTGCACAGCCGCACCGGAATTCCCCTAATGTGCTGGGTACTGATCGCTTCTGCTTGGACCCTTGCGATGCAGGTCGCGTCTGGAAGGAGCCACGGTTGTCTGGAAAGAGCAGGGGTGCCCTCTTTTGGAGGTCGTGGGGAGACCCAAGCGTCTGCTAACGGCAACTGCGTTGTTTCAGTCCCGTCTCAGCCCTGGAGCTGGTGAACTCTGGAGGGAGGGCTGGACGGCACGGCCCTCGCTGACCGGGCTTCAAATGACAAGGGTTGTGTATGACATGTGTCAGCGTGTGGTTCAAAAAAAAGCTCAAAAACCACAAAATAACCTGGTTCCCCAAAGCTCAGACAACACAGTGTCCCTTAGGTGACGTGTTTTCTTCCCCTTCGGGTAACCAGGGAAACAGTCCTGCACACGGTTGGGAAGAAGCAGCAATCCTTCGCTGCAATTTTCCCATGATGTGGAAAGGTCAATAAAGTCTTTGGTGCGTTGCTACGTAATGGCCCTGGCCGTCACAGAGGTGTTCGCTCTGCCCTTGGTGGTTCTGAGCGTGCGGCGTCAGGGCCCCGGCACCGCGGCAGCTGCGAACGTCTCTTGGTCCCTGATTCCGTCCTTAATGCAGGGCTCTTAGCAGCGGCAGCACGAACCTGTTTTCCCGACGTTCACGGAGACCTTGACGGCGTACACCCCGCAGGGACGCGTCAGGTTGGAGATAAGGAGCATTCCTCTCACACGCGGACAACATGACCGGTAGGAGCCTGGAGGCTACCGCTAAGCCGGTGCCGGTGACTCAGGGTTCATGGAGCGTCGCGGAAGCACGGCGTTCTATCATGCTCGGGGAACTTCCATCCGGTCAGGCGGAGTGGGACACAGCCGCTCACTCCACTGGGGGGTGACTTTGTACACTTTGTAATTTATTATTTTAAAAAAATTTTTAATGTTTATTTATTTTTGAGAGACAGAGTGTGAGTGGGGGAGGGGCAGAGAGAGAGGGAGACACAGAATCTGAAGCTGCTCCAGGCTCTGAGCTGTCAGCACCGAGCCCGGCACGGGGCTCGAACTCACCAACCGAGAGATCATGAGCTGAGCCAAAGTCGGACGCTCTCCAGGTGCCCCGAACGCTTGTGATTGAGAACCAGTTCTCATACGTACTTTCCAAGGTTACACAGTCAAGCCCGGGAGGCAGGATCCCGTTGGCTTCCGTTTCCTCGTCCCTCTGGGCCTCCAGCCGGGTTCCCTTGCAGCCCAGGACGGCGCTGGGAGTGGCCAGGAGTGGGGGGCTCTCGTCAGGTCAGGTGGAGGGCAAGGGCCCGGCCGCGCGGCAGGGCCTCCCGGTCTGAGTCAGGCTCGCTGAGCACAGGGCGGCGGGCGCCGGGAGGCCCCGTCAGACAGGGGCGGGTGTCCTCACCCCTCCCCTGTGAGGACTCCGCCAGGCTCTGGTGCCGGCGGCGCGTGCGAGGAGGCGAGGACTCGGGAACTCTCTCCTGAGCACGTGGGGGTGGCTGGCTCTGGACAGCACAGCCGTGAGCACCTCCAGGGCTCTGGGCCCCGCAAGTCCCAGGAAACCAAACAGGCCGAGGGGCCTGGGCCTTTACCCTTCCCACCAGGAGGCAAGGCTACGCTTGTGACACGACTGAGCCACGCTCACTTCCGCTGGTTTTCACCGCCGGTGCAGGGACCCGCTGTGCAAGCTGAGCCTCTGAGAGAGCGAGAGACAGCGGCCTTGAAATCAGCTTCTGAATCGTTCCGTGCCTACAGCAGTTTAAGGCAACGCTTGTTATGGAAGGCCTTTCTCACACTGCACGCATCCATGCCACATATGTGCGTATGCACACGCGTGCAGCGTGTGTGTGACCGTAAGAGGCGACGGACGCTGTTATCAGCGACCCTGAAAACCGTTACGCAGGGGAACAATGAGGAGGATGGTTCGCTTTAAAGATACGTGAGCTTTGGGCGCCTGGGTGGCTCGTTGTGATCAACTCTTGATCTCGGCTCAGATGATGATTTCACAGTTCGTGGGTTCAAGACCCACATCAGGCTCCGTGCTGACACCACAGAGCCTGGATCCTGCTTGGGGTTCTCTCTCTCTCTCTCTCTCTGCCCTTCCTCCCATCACTCTCTCTCTAAAAATAAACTTTAAAAAATAATAAGTAAGCTTGGCCAAATCATTCTAAAAGGTATTCTTATCATATAGAAAGCTTAAATTTGGACACTTATTTTGTCATTTTCTTTTACGTGTTCATATATATATACACAGAGTTGGAATATAGGAGGAGAGAAATAGTCTAGAGAAACCTTTCTTTTAGAAGTTCACAGACAGACTTCTTCTCAAAATCTTTGTTGCTCAGACAGTCCTTCGAATCTGCAGACTGCCCTCCCTCTGCGTTCAGAAGGCGCAGGGGGGCCTCACGAGCTGCCCTCCTGCCCCCGCCTCTGACCCTAAGGCCTGGAGAGCCCACCCGGGAGGCAACGTCTTTGCACCCCCCAACACCCATGAAAATCGACGCGCGGCACATGTAACCAAGCGGGTATTGATTCATGTGGCACTGACCCGACTGGCTTCCCTTAAACTCATCTTCCTTGTTTTCAGGGTCTGGGGCTTTGGGCTGTGTTGATTGTCATTACAGTTAAGACCCTGAGGGTGTGGGCAGTGGTGCCTCTGTAACTGCGAGTGCTTACTCTGGGCAGGATCGTAGAAACAGAAGGGATATTTGAAAAAGAGCAAGCAAACCTGGAACAGAAATTGGGGAGGCTTCTCCTGCCTGAGAACCAAGGAACAAAGAACCCCTGTCCATAGGGAAGCAGCGGCCAGGCCCGGGGACGTGGCGAGAGGCCCGTCCACAAGCATCGTAACACACAGGTGCTGGAGGCTTCCTTCAGTCGCCGGAAAACCGCTCCCTCCTCCTCTCCTCTACCCCCCCCCCCCACCCCACAACCCCAGGAGCTCTAGACTAATAATAATTGGGGAGCTGGGCCTTTATACTTCACATTCGAAGCAGCTGCTGAGGGNAGGTGCTGGAGGCTTCCTTCAGTCGCCGGAAAACCGCTCCCTCCTCCTCTCCTCTCCCCCCCCCCCCCACCCCACACACCTCAGGGCCCTGGCTGGTCTGCTGGCTCCTGGCCCCTCCTCCTGCGGAATTCTTGGAGAAGAGAACCCAGCAGGCGCACGGACAGATCTGCTGAGCCGTGGATCTGGGCAAGTCACAGAGCATCGCGGTCACATGGGAAAGGGGATTTTTTAATGTAAAATCAAACGCGAACTCTTTTATTCTCAGGGTGAGGGAGGGGGTGGCGCAGAAATGGAAATAAATAACGAATAATGTATATATAAAGGCGATGTTGTCAGCGGGGCTCCACAAAATGTAAACTTTTATAGAAAACGGTTATTTTCCAGCACCTCCTGAGTCATTCCTTGTGGTTCAAGTATCGAGGCTTTGGGACCGTTTCACTTCCCTGTTAGTTATTTTTTCACAGGCACCATTAGGTTTCCACCCACAAACGGTCAAATAGAGGAATACTGTGCAGCGAGGGTGCGTCTGGGAGGGGTGTGTGTGCACAGACAGGCACACAACCCCACAACCGAGAACCCGACGGGGACAGGCCACCAGGGGTCCCCTTGGGGAGAACAGGCTGCAGGCGGCTGATGAAGGGGACGTAGCCCCACGTTTCGGGGGACTCTGCATCCTTAACGCCAGGAACAGAGTCACGGGCAACTCATGTGATTGTAAAGTTAACACCTTCCCCAAGGAGCGCACGTGCACACAGATGTCACAGGAAGCCACGTCTACCACGCCACATACCGAACACGTCGCTGTCCTCTGAGGCCTCCCGGGAGAGGTGGTGGGGGCTCCTCCTCCTGCTGGGCTCCCCTGCTCCGGAGTCTGCATCCTGCAAACAAAACCAACAACACCCGTGGCTTAAGATGTAGTTTCACCAGGGCGCCCGGGGGGCTAGGTCGCTTGACCGGCCGACTTCGGCTCAGGTCATGATCTCACGGTTCGTGGGTTCGAGCCCCGCGTCGGGCTCTGTGCTGACAGCTCAGAGCCTGGAGCTGCTTCTGATTCTGTGTCTCCTTCTCTCTCTGCCCCTCCCCTGCTCATGCTCTGTCTTTCTCTCTCTTAAAAATAAAAATAAATAAAGTATTTTAAAAAAGATGCAATGTTTTATCAACAAGATAGCTGTACTACATCTTTCTTCTTGTAAACATGTGGCAGATAATCACTCCCCTGTTCACTTTCCAGGTCTGAGAGACAGCCTTCGTTCAGGGTGGGTGTTCTGCGGAACGTTCTGGATTCTGGCCAGTCTTCTCTGCCTGGGCTTGCAGGCATTCTCTTGCTCCAGGAGATGGGTTTTCACACAAAGGCAATCGCACATCACCTCAGATAAAATAGATCAGCTACACATCACTGCCTGCGCTCAGAAGCCGGCGACCGTCTGAGCGAGTGGAGGGAACGGCCGCCTAACCTGGCTTTTTCTCGAATTCTGCAGCCCTGGGGGGACGGGCAGACAGACACCGACGTCCCCCGGCCTCCCCTCTGCTCCGTCAGGGCCCTCACAGCGGCACCGGGGTGCACGTACCTGTTACGTTTGGGATTTAGGGGCATAGAGTAGGTATGGTTTGGTTTCTGTATCTCTAGTCAGTAGGGATGCTTGCATAGACCCTGACACGCACAGCGGGAGGGCCTGCTCTGCTCCCCTCGGGGTCTCCCCCTGCCCCACCACCGTCAGAGGCCACCCGCTCTCCAGCGTCTCCTGGGCTCCTTCAGAAGGGTCTGCACATTCGCACAACTACTCAAGTGCGCTCGTTCCTCCTTTTCGTCTTTGCGTAAAGGGCATTGCGCTTCAGTCTGCAACCCGGGACACCGCTCCAGCCGCCCGCATAGTGCCCAGCGCAGCCTGACCTGCCTCGGGGGCCAGCGCGCGCCCCGTCTTGACGCAAAGGCCACCAGGCTCCTGCCTGGGACTGTCTCCCAGGTTTGCACTCTGCCCGGTTGCCAGCAGCGCCATGAGCTGGGGTTTGCTGACTCACCAGCGTTCATTCCTGGACTTTGCCTCCACCCCTGCGCTGTATCACTTTGTCCCAGGCCTCGCTTGTTTCCTGAGTTTCCAGCTAGGGCTGTGAGGCCTTTTTCCTCTTTTACATTCTTTTCTGTGTAAAGAGAGGAGGCAGGCACAGAGGCAGGGCTGTGAGCTCCGGGGCCACACTGCCCACACATAGCTTTTACTTCTTAGCTGTGTGAGCTGGGACAAGGCACCCAACCTCTCTGTGCTTCACTTTCCTTTTCTATAAAAGAGAGGAAATACTGATACTGCTTATTGTGCTGGTAACCAGGCTTAACGAAGTTACTGTGTGTAAGTGCTTTCAACATGCCTGGCGCACAGAAACTGTTATGTGAGTGTTTGTTAAATAAAATGGAAACGCAGAAAAAAATAAAAAAAGGTGGGCACCCTCCCCTCTGCCTTAGCGCGGGCTCCGAGCTGCCCTCTCCCAGCTTTGCCCCCAAGCTTTGTCTTACAGCCGGTGGGTTTGACCTGCCCAGCTTCCCCCGTGCATTTCTCCAGCCACACCGCTCCCCTGCAGTGACAGATCTTGGGGGGCGGGGCTAAAGAGTGGGCCCGAGGCCTTGAGACTCGCACCAGCCCTACAGAAGCTTCTGGGGATGGCTGGACCGGCCAGCAGGTGCTCCCCGGGCCAGGTGGGCGGGAGGCGGGAGGCCTATGCCCTCTGTGACGCTGCGTGCAGCGCTGATCTGCTGACCTGAACCAGGAAGTCCTGCCTCGAAACTTCCCTCCTCCCAGGTTCCGGGCTCCAGTGGGTCTGCACTTGCAACAGAAACTGTCCTGATATGAGTTGCCATGTGAGGAAGCCATAAATTATTATCCTGACAACATCAGGTCTGAATCAGACGGACACAGATTCACAGTGAGAGAGGGGCAGAGGCAGGCAGGCAGCCAGCAGGTAGGCAGGGGTGAAGGCCCGGGCTGAAGGTGACCTCCGTGGACTTGGGAAGGTGGGGGCCAGCCCTCCCGAGTTCACACCCGCCCTCCTGAGTTCACACCTCTGCTCCCTACCCCTGCCTCCACGTCTCTGGAACCCTCCAGCCCAAATGACCCTGGGGTCTCAGCCCCTAACCCAGCCTGGGGTCTCCGCCCCTAACCCAGCCTGGGGTCTCCGCCCCTAACCCAGCCTGGGGTCTCCGCCCCTAACCCAGCCTGGGGTCTCCGCCCCTAACCCAGCCTGGGGTCTCCGTCCCTAACCCAGCCTGGGGTCTCCGCCCCTAACCCAGCCTGGGGTCTCCATCCTTAACCCAGCCTGGGGGCGGACGGGTGAGATCCCACCAGCCCACATTTATAACCTGGTTCCCACGATGAAGTGATGTCCAGTGTTCTACAAAGGCTTGCTGGTAACCAGCACCCATAACACGGAGGACGGAGAAGTTTGCTTTCATTTTCACAGTGAAGCTGATGCTACCAGCTGGTTAATAAACTAAATTGTTGTTTCCCAGACTGAGATCTAACAGTCTCATAAAGTAACTATTAACAGCAAATAGTCCTGTTCAAACTCACTAGTAATTGAAAAACTACCAAGCAAAACAAGAATAAGATACTATTTCCTAACGTACTGACATATTGTCAACTTGACAAAGTTGAGAAGAAAGTAATTTCCAGTGTTGCTGGGGACGCCGTGAATCAGGAAGGCTCCGGGGACTGGAGTAAACTTCCACTGCCTTTTCTGTGAGGCCAAAACCCAGGCTGTCCCTAGGCAGGGCTGCCTCCTGCCCTCAGGGTCCTGGGGGTTGTCCTGAGGGCGGACCTGACCCCGCCCAGCCCCACCCCCACTGGCTTCCTCCTCCCAGCTGTGATCTCAGCCTTCCTCCCTCTTTTCCCCTCCCCCCGCCTCCTTCCCTCCTCTCCAGCTCCCTTCCCCTCCCACAGGGCGGGTTTGAACTTCTCTCCCCTGTAGAAGTGGCCACTGTCCGCCCCCCCCATGGGCTTACCCCTCACACACACCGTCCCCCAACCACACTGTAAATTGACAATAGGGACCTTCTTGCCTTATAAACCCTTCTGTCCCCAGACCTCACCAGCGCCTGGTACCCAGCAAGTGCTGGGCAGGAAACTGTTCAGTTGTTATTTTCACAAAGTTTAAAGTGGCAGAGGAAGCCAAAGGTGGCTTAAAAGGCATTTTCTCAAATCTACATATTTAATTCTAGAGGAGAGTAGAACTTGGAAGGGCAAGCACTTCCCGATAGATCGGTCCGTCGGCTGTAAATTCAGGTCTCATGTCTCTGTTTCACATCGCGCTTTGAGGCCGACTGCAATGTCCTGTTCTTCGCCAAGTACAGAATCCTATTACTGGAGAAGTAAGCAGTTAAATACAGTTTAACTGCCACGTTTATTCATCACGGGTGCACTTTTCATGCTTTTATATTGAAAATCAAGATGCCCCTCGCAACCAGCAGTGTCTTGCACTTAGAACTGAGGACACCCTCCTTAGGGATGAGGGCACTTCAGGGTTAGGGTCAAAGCGCGATAGTGAAAGCGACCACTGTGCCCTCAGTGGCTGCAGGTCGATGATAGGGTCACACAGCCTCCCTATCTCCGTGGCTGGGGTCGGCGGGCGGACCTGGCGGTGGAGAGATAGCCAGGTCCTCCGCCCACGCCTGGTGCAGACTTCCCTGCTGTAGCATCAGACGGTGCGCCGTCCACTCCTTCGAGTGGCCACAGGGGGAAGCTGGGTAGAGTGCCGATGACAGACGGGCCCCAAACCTCACCCACACCTTCTGGTCTAGTGAGTCGGGGCGTGCAGCGCGTGGGACGGTGTGCGGAAAGCACGCGCTCATTGCTTGGGAAATCTAGTCGCTGACTTCTGTCCAAACAAAGTGACTTTCTGAGACCTGATGCCGTTACTCTCCCACAAATATAAAACATACCCTTACGAAGAACATGTTTTCAATAAGCGAAACGTCCACCAGCAAAACAAACACAATCAAGATGGTGTGTGTCAAACGTAATGGAATTTTCTTGATAAAGTAACAGACGTATAACACTCAGATACACAAGGAGGGTCGGTGCTCATGACCCGCAACCCAGGGTGTCACTGCCCCAACGTGTCCTGATTCTCAAATCACATCTGTGATGCACGTGTCCAAATGTGCTTGAAGCAATTATGGCTTCATAATATTTGTACCAATTCTCATCTCTGTCAGCCTAAATATGGGAAAGATGACTGATGTAAAAATCCACTCCCTTTTCCATATTGACTTTAGGGCTAAACACAATAAAGTAAAGCTCTCACAATTATAAATGTCGATTTAAAAATATTTCTAAATATTGGGGCGCCTGTGGGGGTTCAGTTGAGTGTCCGACTCTTGATTTCAGCTCAGGTCACGACCCTGGGGTCGTGAGATCAAGCCCCGCACTGGGCTCCGAGCTGAGCGTGAAGCCTGATTTAGATTCTCTCTCTCCTTCTCCCTCTGTCCCTCTTCCCCACTCACGTGCTCTCTCTCTCAAATAAAAACAAATCAAAAATATTTCTAAATGCAGATGAGACCTATTATTCAACACAATACAACACTCATCGTAAGTGAGCAATGTTCGGCCCTGGCCTTTATCTTTTCACTCAACAGCCTTCCTTCACGTGGGATTAACTTCCCCCTTTTGTCCAACGGGTTCTCTGCTCGACGGGTGACCCCCGAGGGACAGGTCCACTCAAGCCCCGCCCAGTGTCTGGTGCCCTCCGTCCTGGGCGCCACCTCTGCCCGCTGCCATCCGGAATGGCTGAAGTACTTTACCACCTTGTTTTGTATCTCAGTCAGAGTCATCTGAAAGCACAAGGATGTGATTTGCTTTTCTTTCTGAAACAAGGGGATGGTGGCGGGAAGAAT